TCAAAGTAAAAATGAAGCCTAAGCCTTGGTCCAAACGCTGGGAACGTCCATATTTTAATATTAAAGGAATCAGATTTGATCTTTGTTTAACTGAAGAACAGATGAAAGAAGCTCAGAAGTGGAGTCAACCATGGCTTGAGTTTGATATGATGAGGGAATATGAYACTTCAAAAATTGAAGCTGCAATATGGGAAGAAATTGAAGCATCAAAAACGTCCTGATTCTGAGAAATCATTTGTTTACTTGTTAAAGATGTATTGATTGCCAGAGGATTTATTTTAAATCCAATTTAATTTAATTTATGAGAGTTACTAAGCATTTATTTTTTARTATGTTAAAAATAAAACTTGCACATCAGTTTAGTACTCTAAGAGGAGAAATGTATATGCCAAATGGCCCTATGTTCCTTTCTTAACTGGAAACAAAGCTACAGTGGAAGTCAGAGCAGTACCAGAATGCTCTTTATGGAGCATGGAAGGGCAAGGGGAGTGGGTGGGATTTTTTTTTAATTGTGAAGCAAATCATTAATATGATATTGTATGATTTAAAGAATAATAAAATGAACATTATGTACTCACTGTTAAGAAATAAACATTGAGTGACGCCTATGAAAGTAAAGACATAGGACATTTACTAAGATCTAAGAAACCTGTCTGAAGTTGTCCCTCCTTTACTCAGGTGCACACACGATCCTGACTTTGTTAATTATTCCTTTATATTTCTTTGAGTTTATTGCCTACATWTATATTTCTAAACAAAATAGTTTTGAAAAACCTATTAACAAGTATAAAAGATAGTATTGCCATTATTACATAATTAAGGTTTCAAGAAGAACATGACATTCTTTGGGTCAGTCTGGCTTCAGCTTCCCTGAGAGTTTACAAAAGCTACTCTGAGGAAGTTCATGGCTAAGGTTATAACTGAGTTCTGCTAACCAGAAGACTTAACCTCAGGACATCTGGCAGGGTTTCAGGGTCGACTGGACAACTGATGTCTCGCAGAAATATGGGCAGAAGGAGCAAATAGCATTTTCTGATTATCAGAGCTATGATGAATCAAACTCCAACTTTTAGGAGTAGGTCAAAACAATACTTATGTGGGGTGATAAAAATATCTACTTGTATGTGAAGTGAACATGGGTTGGAAAACTTTACCATGGGTRTTATATATGGTGAAGACTAGCCTGTATATGATTGAGCACAGTTTTAACCCAGGTCTTGAATGCAGTCCTGCACCTGTCAGTTGAATCATGCTCAGACCTGCTCTCTAGTGCCTAGCTCTATTGGGCCTTTGGTGTGTTGAGCTGTTTTTGTCTACTAACTCATTTTGGTGGAGCACATTCTTTGGTAGGTTTTAAAGAAAGTATCTGTGGTGATAAAATTTTGAGACTTTGCATATCTATATTTTATTGATACTTGATAGAATTTTTAGTATTTATTTATTTATTGTAACACCGAGTATTAAACTCAGGGACTTTGTGCATTTTTGAGACAGGGGCTTTCTAAGTTGCACTGAGCAATTCAGTGAGACCTTGTCTCTAAATAAAATACAAAAATAGGGCTGGCGATATGGCTCAGTGGTCAAGTGGCCCTGAGTTCAATCCCCGGTTCTTTTTTTTTTTTTTTTTTTTTAAAGGGAAATCTTTCCATCTTCTAAGTTCCTCTTCAGTTTCTTTCTTTAATGATTCTGTAGTTTTTAGTTTTCATTGTAAAGGTCTTTCACCTCTTTTGTTAGATGAGTCCCAAATATTTTATTATTTTTTTTTCAAGGCTATTGTGAACAGGATAGCTTCCCCAATTTCTTTTTTGTTTGAGTCATCATTGATGTATAGGAACATGATTTATGGGTGTTAATTTATCCTGCTATTTTGCTGAATTCATTTATGAATTTTAGAAGTTTTCTGGTGGATTTTTTTGGGTCTTCTAAATATAGAATCATGTCGTTKGCAAAAAGGGATAGTTTGAATTCTTTTCCTATTGGTATCCTGTTAATTTTTTTTCTTTTGCCCAATTGCTCTGGCYTATCCCTAACTCTGTTTGTTTATTTATTTATTTATATTTAATTTTACTTTGAAACAAGGTCTTCCTAAGTTGCTGAGGCTGGCATTGAATTTGTGATTTACCTGTCTTAGCCTCCTGCAAATGAATTTTTTAAAGAAATATTTTTGATCYATGATTGATTGAAGCCATGAGTAGTAGAACCTGTGGATATGGAGAGCTGAGCATATCTAAATTTTAGTTTTTTAGGAATAGGCTCTTTTAAGCCCACTWAGAAAGGCATCTGTATGCTGGACACTGCAACCTTGTGAGATAGGTGAGTTTATTTTCAATGTTAGCTTTAGAGAGCTCATCCAAAATAAAACTCAGAAGTATCTTAGAACTTTTTAAAAACTATTTTTTAAAGAAGTGTCCGTACTGATTACATCAGAATCTGTGGGAAGATGAAGATGGGTATTGGCATTTTTGAAAGCTCTTCATGTGATTTGAATGTCCTGCTAGGTTTAAGAACCACTGCACTTAACATCCTGCCTGCTATACAAATAATAGAATGGAAKTTAAATCCAAGGCTGCTCATTTTGCTCCAGTTTAACTAATTGGCYAAAATGGCCAGGGAATGTATTGACTAAAGCAGCGGTGACCAGCTTACCCTGGTTTACCCAGGACCTTTCCAGTTTAGCACTGGAGGTCCTATGTCTTGGGAAACCCCTCAGTCATATTTTCCTGGATGGATGGTGAGCCTACAAAGCAGTTATGTATGGAATGTATCTGTAAAAACATTTTATTCTTTAAACATCCTAAATGTATTTCTAAAAATCAAAGAGTAACAGAGAAGTGGCTCACYGTGTATTTACTGACCTGTTTTCAAGTTTGCTTATTTTTTGTCTTGCAGTTCAAATCTACTGAGCTCCTCTAGTTTTTTCATCTCAGCTATTGTACTTTTTAACTAACTTCTGATTTGTTCTTTTTAAAAAACAATTTCTCATTGTTAATACAAAGAGATGYGTGTTTATCTTTGTTCTCTATTTGATAAAATGTTGTATCTTCCTTCCAGTTGTTAATCTGACTTTCAYTTAGTTCTGTGAATGTTTATAATGGTCAGTCTTTCTGATACATCTGATGTCTAGTTGCTGGGACAGGCCTTTAGGGTGCCRCTTTTCTATTGGCATTTGGGTCATATTTTCCTGTTTTTTTCCATGCCTCTTTGTATGGCAAGTCAAGGTTTAACCTCAATAAGAAACTGATCAACTGTCTTCCAAAGTAGTTACTCCATTTTTCTTTCACTTGTATATGAGTGATCTAATGGCTTCACATGACTTTCCCAACATTATAGTAGATATGAAATGTTATATTGATATGGTGTTGATTTGTTTTTTTTCCCCCCAGAGAACCTAAGATGCTAGAGTCTTGTATAAATTTCTAATTTTGATGAGGTGYAATTCTTTTTTTAATTTCCTTTCATGGTAAATTCTTTCTGTGACCTAACAAGTCATTTTTACTTGCCTCCAAATCCAAAATACTCTCCTATGATTTTTT